GCCCTTCTCTTCACCCAAATCAATATTTATCTCTATCTATCTAACAGCATTCCCTCCCCTTCCCTCCCACCCCTGGTAACCAACAAAGAAAATGTACTATACACCTGGACACTCTTATAACACCTACAAATAAGCATGTAGAAACACTGTCTGCTAAACCTATGCATGGTCATGGGCACATGCCCCCCTGCCTAGTCATACCTGATCATTCAGCCTGTCCACCTATCTATCCACCCCTAGACCAATGACTGCCATCACTGACAATGCAGTACTATACACGCAAGAAGGTTCATCTTTGTTGTCTGTACCTCCCATGTACCTCTCTATGTGAAATAAAAGTATTTTAAAAATCACCTGAATATGACCATTACTGAGCATTTTAATCAAGAACACAACAGCTGGGTTCTGATCAAAAGGAGGGAAAGTATGGAACAGAACTTCAGAGTCTTAATGGAAACCAGAATTTCTAGATCCACTGAGATTGGGGAATCCCTGAATCTAATGGCTGGAAATAACCTTTAAGCCTTGAACTGAAACTACCCCATGAAGCTATTGTTAAACTAAACAACAGTTTAGCTCCATCACTAAAGAATGTTTGCCTCCATTGATATACAGGTGGATAGATGATTGGACAGGCTGAACTATTAGGCATGTCTATACAGGGGGGAGTATGCCCAAGACCATATATAGGGTTGGCAGACAATGTTTCTACAAGTGTATTTGTATGTTCTGTAAGAATTCCCAGGTATATAGTAGAGCTGACAAGGGACAAGGTTGTAGTCACTTCTTGGCCACAGCCAGCTACCCAGAGGGTGTGAGTAGTTGAACCTGTGGGCTCGGAACTGTAGTCGCAGGAGACATCAAGCTCAGTTGCCATAACATACTACACAACAACACTGTTCCATATCCTACTTTGGTAAGTAGTGACTGGGATCTTAGAAGCTTACAAGTGGCCATCTAGATCCAACAATGGATCTCTCCCCATCGAGAGGAAAGAAGAACAAAGAAAAACAAAGACACATGAAACAATTAGTCCAAGAGACTGGTACACCATGCAGTCCTCAGCCTATACAATTATGAGTCCAGAAGAACTAGATGGTGCCCAGCTACCACTGTCAACCACACGGAAGAAGATCTATGTAAGCAATCCTGGATAGAGTGGGAGAACAATGTGCAACAAAGCTCAAAATCATTGAAAGAAAAGGACTAGGTTTGCTGGTCTGATAGAGCCTGGTGGAACCACTGAGACTATGGCCCCTAGCTGTCTGAAATTGAACCTACTTCTGTGTCTTCTAGCCAAACAAAAGACAGGCATATGAGGTGAACATTTACATTAGGTTACACTCCCTGGAGGATCAATCATAGGAGAATAGAAGGACTGTGTATGCACAGGGAGACAGCTTGGGTGGCAGGAGTGCATTGTAGGGTAATCAGTGTCATGAGACAAAGTGTATGTGAGCTGCTGTATGGAAAGTGAATTTGCTCTGTAAACTTTCACCCAAATCATAATAAAAATTAAAAAAACAAAAAGAAGCACACAGGGAAAAAATAGATAAATGAAAAAGAATGTTTGCCTCAAGCATAGCAAAAGAATTATCTACACAAGTGTAAACGGATAGCAATGAATTTAAAGTATAGATGAGAATTTTAAGAGGCAGAAAGCCCAAATTAATGATGATAAAATACTATGTAAGAGACAAAGAACATTAACACAATGTGAAGTATGTAATCAACGTTATCCAACTTTTCATGTAGAAATTGTGAATGGATGTGTATTTGGTTGTCTATACTGCCACCAAAAATTATATATATATATATATATATATAAACCTTCAGAATCTGATATAATTGAAAAAAGTCTGTATAGAGTAAATCAACCAATGAACTCAATAAAAATCATGCAATAAATTTGAGCTATTATCTGAATTTCTAGCTCTGTGTAATTCCCATGAGAATACTGGAGAACCTTCAAATTTCGTATAACAGATAACAGACTGGCTTCCCTATGTTCCAGGATGAACAGCTCTCAAATGTTATGCCAGAAAGTCAGATGGATTAATTATAGCGAGAAGCAATATTCAAATTTTTAAAGTAATTGCTGTAACAAGCTGCCACATACCAAGATTGGTAGAATTCTCTCCCACCTCTTGACATATTTTTCAGTAGCTATTTAAAACTATTTCCATAAAGCATAAGTATCTTAGTCATGTTTTAAGAGAACTCAGTAATTCAATTTATGTAACCAATTAAATAGAGAATGAGCTCTGAAATGGGAAAGACAGTCCCCACCCCAGCTTTCAGTATAAAAGTCTTGCAATATTTAGTTTGCAAAGGATGAGAGGACCTGTGAACTAAGAAAAAACTGTGGTTCTTAAAAAAAGACTTTTATGGGCACAATCATTCTTTTTTTCTTTAGGGAAACTGAAGCAAACTAAAAAATATCTAATAGGAAGAGAGGAAAGGGGGCAATGGTAAAATTCCCTGAATCTTGCCAAGTGTTTCACTCCAATGTTTTATTTTTATTTCACTATAAAAGCAGTACCTGTTCAATATAAAAAACTTGAGAAAATACTGGGTAACAAGAGAAACAAAGGTAAGCATTAAATAAGTTAAATACTACTTAAGTATATTTCTATCTAGTTTTTCCCCCCTCTGTTTTAAGAACTTTTCCATGTAAGATAATTGGGAAAATATGGTTAATTTTTTCAAGATTTCCCTCCTACACAGCTTTTCAAAACTACATCTCTTTTCTAAAATAAAATGCACTTCTTTTGGGCTATTTCTAAACGCTAAGTTCTGATTACTCAAAAGGAGATTTCTTCTGGGAGAAAAAAAGCGTAACGCAGCAAGGCAACCAAAGCTAATTTGTATAAAAACAAACCCACTGCCATCGAGGCAACTGCAACTCATAGCAACCCCCATTACATTTGTGAGATGGTAAATCTTTATGGAAGTACATTGCCCCATCTTCCTTCCGTGGCGTGGCTTCTGGACAGCAGTCAGATGCCTTAGGCACTGTGTCACGAGAGCTCCTTAATTTCTATCTGACAATGTAAATATTTTGTTGTATCAATTTCTGAAGTTCTGAAAATATAGAACTCTTTAGATGTCTTATTTGAACTCTTTCACACTAAAGTTGTAAAAAACAAACTAAAAAGCAAAATTAGAAAGTGACCATTATAACAGTGTTAACTCAGAAGTAATGACAGAAAAGCAAAAACATTAAGGTAAGAGGGTCCATGAGGTCATCCTACTGGGATCTAGTGAGCAGTGTGTGTGAAAATTGTTCCATAAAGATGTTGAGTCTCTCTCTAGGTGCCTCAGGGAACAAATCAAGAGGTATCATCTATTCCTAACTCTACACTGAATCCTTTCCAAGCTCCAAAAATAATTTTCAACATGTCTCACTATTTTGCATACTTCCTCCCCCAAATACCAGGTCAAGTTTTTACCACTATACCAAAAAAAAACCCACGGCAATCGAGGCAATTGCAACTCATAGCGACCCCCATTACGTTTTTGAGGTGGTAAATCTTTACAGAAGTAGATTGCCCCATCTTCCTTCCATGGAGTGGCTGATGGTTTGAACCTCCAACCTTCTGGAAGCAGTCAAATGCCTTAGGCACTACGTCACCAGAGCTCCTTTTTACCACTATCATCTTCACAATATCCTTCTGCTCCCTTCCAATGTCAAGGAATAGTCTCATTTGGACAACTGAAGTTTTTGTTGTTGTTAAGAATACAGTCAGCAAAACATACACCAACTCAACCATCTCTACATGTACAATTCAGTGACACTGATCACATTCTTTGAGTTGTACAACCATTCTCATCTTCCTTTTCTGAGCTGTTCCTCTCCCGTTAACATAAGCTCTCTGGCCCCCTACATTTCCTACCTAAGCTTTCGAGTTGCTATTGTCACTTTAATCCTATATAGATAATTCTTGTAAGAGTACAATGCTAAGTAAGTACTATTTTTTACTAGTTTAGCTGAACTACTGTTTGTTTATTAAATAACTTTTCATTTTAATTCAGGTGGGAGTTCACAGAGCAAACTAGTCTTCTATTCAGTAATTCATACGTATTTTGTTTTGTGACACTGACTGTAATCCCCACAATATAACAGCATTCCTCCCACTTCCTCCCTGTGTTTACCATTTTTATTTGTCCTCCCTCTCAATCCTTTCCTGCCTTCTGAGCTTTGTCCCTGGACAAATACCCTTTCGATCTCAAATAGTTGATTATTATAAGGAGTGCACACCTCCCTGGTTATTGTTCATTTTATAGGCCTTTCTATCATCTGGCTGAAAGTTGAGCCAAGGGGGTGAGTTCAGTCTTAGGCTTGAAGGGTATATAAAGGTCATAGTCTTGGGGGTTTCACCAGTCTCTAACAGACTAGTAAGCCTGGTCTTTTTATTTTGAGTTTTGTTTCACATTTTTCTCCCACTTTATCCAGGACTTCCTAGTTGTGATCCCTTTCAGAGCAGGCAGCAGTGGTGGCAGGTCAGGGTCATGAAAGCAGAGATTCACATGGTCCATTAGTCCTTTGGACTACTGTTGCCTTATGTCTTTGATTTTCTTCAGTTCTTCTTTGCTCTGGACAAGGATACTGTTTAATTTTAAGAAGAATCCAGGGGATAGTTTTGGTTTAATGTTTAAAGATTATCTCAGGGAATAGTTTTAGGGGTTCAGCCAGCCTCCATCATTCCAGAAAATCTTAAATCCTAAGAATTTGAAATTCTGCTCTGCCTTTTCCCTCTTTTGATCAGGATTTTTCTATAGAATCTTTGATCAAAATGACAACTGAAGCTTTTTTTTTTTTTAATTTTATTTTGATTTGGGTGAAGATTTACAGAGTAAATTCACTTTTCATACAGCAGTTCACATATACTTTGTCTCATGTCATTCACCAAAATTTACAATGCAACAGCTCCCCTCCCACTTCCTCCCCATAGTTACCTCTTCCCAGTGTCCATCCCTCCATACTCTCCTGCGCCCTGAGCTGTCTCCCTGTGCATAAGCAGCCCTTCCTTCTCCCATGATTGTTCTCTCCAGGGCGTGTGTCTACTTGAGGTAAATGTTTAACTCACATGCCTGTACTTTGTTTGGCTGGAAACCACAGGTGTGGGTTCAATTCCAGACCTGAAGGGCAGCTAGGGGCCATAGTCTCAGCGGTTCCACCAGGCTCTATTGGACCAGCAAACCTGGTCCCCACCTTCTTCTTCTTTTTTTTTTTTTTTGCCTCCAAATGATTTTGAGTTTTGTTCCACATTGTTCTCCCTCTCTATGCAGGATCTCGTACATCCCTTCCAAGTGGATGACAGTGGTAGCCGGGCACCATCTAGTTCTTCTGGTCTCATAGTTGTACAGGTTGCAGATCGGATGGTGTACCAGTCACTAGGACTGATTGTTTCCATTAATTTTGGTTTTCTTCTTTCTTCTTGACGAGGAAAGACCCACTGTTGCATCTAGATGGCAGCTTGCTAGCTTTTAAGATCCCAGTCGCTACTCGCCAAAGTAGGAGGTGGAACAATGTTTTGTATAGTATGTTATGCCAATTGAGCTTGATGTCCCCTGCAACTATGGTCCCAAGCCCGCAGGATCAACTCTCGGTCGCTCTGGGTAGCTGGCTGTGACCAAGCAATGACCATAACCTTGCCCCTTGTCAGCTCTACTATATACCTGGGAATTCTGATCACTCACATAAACTTATAGGACCATTGTCTGCCAACCCTATATATGATCTTGGATACACTCCCCATTTAGACATACCTAATTGTTTAGCCTGTCCACTTATCTATCCGTCCATATACCCCTGTTTGCCTTCACTGACAACTCAACAACTGAAGCTTTTAATGATTATAAGAAACTGCATAATATTAACAGCTAATCAGATAGTCTATGACCATGTAATAATCATTTAGCCTACAAAAATTTAACTTTTCCTTATTAGGTAAGAGGAACAATTAGCGATAAATCACACTACCAACTTCTCAAAGAGACTTTCCTTGTGAACTCTAAAGCGGCCCTCCCAAACATGAGTCATTTTTCTTCCACTCCATTTTCTTCAAAGTAATCAACACTATCTGAAATAATTTCATCTATCCATAAACATGGGAGCTCTGGTAGGGTAGTGCCTAAGGCATTTGACTGCTAACCAGAAGGATGACAGTTCAAATCCACCAGCCACTCCTCAGAAGGAAGACTGGGCAGTCTACTTCTGTAGAGATACCACCTTGGAAACTATGAGTCGGATTCAACTCAATGGCAGTGAGTTTGGTTTGGTTATCCATAAACATAGGGACTGCACCCATAATCCACCATTTCAAATAAAAAAAGTCTATTATCATAATCGTCGTAAACCATTGCATATTAATATAGAATGTAGAAATTACAAACTATCACATTTTAGCAGATGAAATATGCTCTCTGTAAACATCAGGAAACCATTCCAAAATATTTGAGTTATGATATTAAGCAGAAAGAAGACTCACCATTGGGAAATTGTGCAGAGGCAAATCTCGTCAATAAGATACCAGCTCCCTCAATTAAAGCTAGGAGAATACCACCCATTGCAGCTGACCCAACCATGGCCACTGGTCCATCTGAAGATAACAACAAAGAGATTACTTTAACAGAAATCTAGTGTAATATAAGATATAATAAAGGAAAAAGATGTCCATATGGCTACATGATCCTCCCATTTACAAACCTTCTCTCTCTTATTGGTCAAGACCAGGGGTCAGCAAATTATAGCCCACAGGTCAAATCCAGCCTGCCACCTGTTTTTATAAATAAAGTTTTATTACAACACAGCCATGCTCATTCATTTATGTATTGTCTATACCTGCTTTCAGAGTGCCTAGTTAACATAAATGGTTAAGCGCTTCACTACCAGCCAAAAGGTTAGTGGTTTGAACTCATCCAGAGGCTCCTTAGAAGACAGGCCTAGTGATCTACTTCTACATGGTCACAGCCCTGAAAACCCTATGGAGCAATTCTACTCTGTCACATATGGAGTTGTCACAAGTCAGAAGTGACTCACTGGCAACTAACGACAACATGGCTGCTATCATGCCATGACAGCAGAGTTGAATAGTTGCGACACAGCTCATATGATCCACAAAGCCTAAAACATCTGCTATCTGGCCTTTTACAGAAAAAGTCTAAAAAAATTCTGGGTTGCTCTCTATCCCAAAGATCCAGAAGATGAGTCAAAGCTCTTTATTCATAACAATCCTTTGTGGCAAGTACTATTATTAATTTCAGAGGACCAAAGAGGAAATTAGAGCACAAAAACTGCCCTGTCACACAGCTAGTAAATGGCAGAACTAGGACTTGAACTGCTTTAACCACTGCAGTGTAAAAAGGTAAGAAGTACTTTCATGGTCTCTCAAATACTCAATTAAATAGATCCCCTTACTTCCCCCCCTCCCCTCAAATCACCATATACGTCCATGTTCTTGCTTACTTCTTGCTGCCAGTATGGCTCCTGTTAAGGCACCACTTGTGATGGAGTTCCAGGGATCTTCTTTCCCTCTGACTTGAACCATACTGCAGTCAATCATAGAAAACAGACCTCCCCAAACTGCAAAACTGCCTATTTAAAAAAAAAAAAACAGCATGATACAAATATAAATGTAACTTTTCACCATGTATTTAAAATATAGTCTAAAATTTAACTTTAAATAACAACATTCATTCTACTCTAAAAACTCTCCTACTCCAATCAAATACATGCAAACACAAGCTTGAATAAGCCGTGAACTAAAAGTCAGAATACTTATCTTTTTAATAAAGTCCTGGGTTGTATTACATTCAGTTGGAAAATTAGCAATGGCCTAACTTCTAAAAGAAATAATTCAGGCCTCAAAGAAAATTAGGCTGCATATATCTAAAAATATTCAAGTTCCCTTTCAGAACAATGTATCCTGGTTTAAAAAGCAACAAACAAAACCACTTTGCTTCCTACTCCTTCTCTTTTACAGCTCTACCTTACCCCTACTTTTTCACTTCTTTCTTAAATGTTAATAAACAGCTACTCTATGAAAATCATCAACAGAAATATAGAAGAAATTCAGCTGCTCTGGAATGTATTATATATAAGCCAACACATGCCAAAGCGCCAAATGAACACTACAAACAGTAAGAATTACGGAACACAAAACCAAACCCAACCCACCTCCATCAAGTCAATACAGACTCACAGCTATCCTAAAGGGCAGAGAAGGCTGCAAATCGTTATGGAAGCAGACTGCTTCATTTTTCTCCTGAGGAGCCACTGTTGGGTTCAAACCACTATTACTGTACCATCAGAGCTCCTTATGGAACACAAAGGGGATAGATATTACCTTTCTTTCTACTTTTTTATCCTTCTTTATTTCTCAAGCACGAAACTTAAAACAACCATAAATCAGCTTATTATTTTGCACTTAAGCCATTTCATTCTTGCAATTCAATAATTCTATGTCCTGGGAAATATGTCTAGGTATATTAGGATTACCTCACTAAATTTTTCAAAGACTCTCTCACTTTCTCATAAAAGTATGAAATCCTTGCCAGAGTAAGCTACAGTTATTGATAACAGTGGAGTATTTGAGTCCAAGCAGGGTGAGGAGTGTCCATACACTTGGACAGCCTAGCACAAGGTATCAAAGCCCAAGCACAATGAGGAGGGATCCACAAGGAAGGGTGGCCTAGTATGGAGTGGTACAAATATATCCATGTGGAAGGGCCACCTGGTCTAGAGTGCCACAGCACAAACAGAGCAAAGTGGGAAGTATAAATGTGAAAAGGAAAAAAAGTAAGAATGAACCCTACAAGACTGGACTGGAATTAAAAGTATCAGTATGGACTCGTGGTCTTCAGTATATAAAGACAGCAATAAATACAAATTTTTGTGTGCATATGTTATTTATAAATCCACATACATATACACACTCAAATATCCTCTAGCCCTAAGAGTGCCTAGGAACAGCAACACCTCAGAAATAAGGAATATACTCAGTAACCAGATTTTGGCTTCTAAATACCATTCTCAACTAAAAGAAACCAGGGGTCCCCGGAAATGGCTGCATCCAGGCCTAGGGCAGGGAAAGTACTATATGAGCCTGAAATATCTTGCTCCAAAACATAAGAAAGTCTTCAAAGAGTAATGGGGACATGTCAAAAGCATAATATCTTATTTCTACCATGAAAACATAAGACCTTAAAGGACACAACTGTGACATTTCCATGTTGCCTATCTCTCTGGACCTTGATTCATAGAGTTCAGTAAATGTTCACTGAATTAAATCAAAAAAGACATCCCGATAATTTTAGAATTTAGGACATCAGAAGAATTTCTCAATAGGTTTTCTTAAAAAGGCTGATCCCAAGGATTCAAAATGGATGATTCCAATTCACTCATACTACTAGTTACTCTTCTTCTAGTTCACTAATTTTTTTTTAAAATAAACTTTATTATTTTAGAATAGCTTTAGGTTTATAGAAAAGCTGTGAAGATAGTACAGAGAGCTCTCATATATTGCACACCCAGTTTCCCTTATCACTAACATCTAACATTACCACGGTACATTTGTCACAATGAATGATCCAATATCAACACATTATTATTAACTATTGCGGAGCTGGTGTGGGACCGGCCAGTGTTTCATTCTGCTGTACACTGGGTTGCTGAGTCAGATGACTCGACAGCATCTAACAACATTATTAACTAAAGTCCATACATAATTCAGAGTTCCTTAGTTTTTACCTAAAGTCCATTTTCTGATCCAGGATCTCATCCAGAATACCCCATCACGTTTAGTCATCATGCATCCTTAGGCTCCTCTTGGGTGTGACAATTGCCTGATTCTTTTTACTCACCAGAAAGGCATAAGGTGACATAAGAAGCCTCTAAAAAAAAATGTAAAAACCTGCCTGACTTCTGAATATATTGGAAATTCAGGGTTTGGCTGTACTTAATACTAAATATCATTTTGAGTAATACGGTAATTATTAAAACAAAGGAAAATGAACCATTATTTACTTTGCAGGGTGTATTAGAGGGAAGAAAAGGAAAGGGATATATTCATCACTTCAATCCTCAAAAGCCTCAATTTCCTTGCCCAGTGCAGTATAGTAAATTACTTAGTGTGGTTTTTCTACCCATAAATCTTTGTAAACTCCGAGGTGGAATTTGCCATGAGCAACTGAGCAGCTCCTGATTGCTAAAGCTGCCCACCTGGGGTATTTCTGTTGGGCGTGGCACTAAACAACGTTCTGGGAGGTTCGCACTCTCTCTCACGTGTTTAGAATTCTGATGTAATGATTGTTTGGTTTCGCCACTCTGCCAGGCTTAAAAGGAGGCCTCCTAGAGGCAGAACTCTCCGACTGCTGGCTGAGGAAGGACGTGCCCCTGAGAGACATGCACTGCAGAAAAGAGATGCAAGAGAAGAGAAACACCGAGGGACACGCACTGCTGGGAGAGAGACTGTGAGAGATGGCGGGCTGGGAGAGAGACTGAGCATTTTTCCTGAACTTGAATTGTAACCTGGTGCTTCCCTAATACACCTCATAATCTGTGAGTTCTGTGTGGCCACTGCAGTGAATTATCGAACCCAGGAGAGAGGTGGTGGGTACTTTGGGAGGAACGGTTGGTGAAAGGGCTGGAGGGGGGCAGCATGTCAGGCCTTGCAGTAATGAGCCTTGGGCTACTGATGGTGATTCTGTCTTCCTCTTGTGCAGTTAGAGGGGGTCAGAACATGTGGCCTCCATGCCCTTTTACCAGTTGGTGTCAGAAGCTGTGGGATTCACTGCAGTAGCTCCAGACTCATACAAGCATGAGATTTTGTAAAAGAAAGAAAGAAGGGGGCTGGGAAGTGAAACTTTGGATTCTTAGATGGTTACTTTGTTTGGTGTTACCTCTTAAAGGAGATAATTGATCCAGAGGCTAGGGCTTTTGGTTACACCCAGCTAAAGACCCAAGGCCATATGCATAGAATGGGATGGTAATCAAGGTGAAGAGATGAACCTGGAATGTCTTTAAAAGGATTATGTGTTTTGGATTATGTGTTTATCTGAATGTACTATGGCTACTGAATGTTCTCTTACCTGCTTGTACATTAGAAATGATTATGGGGTATGTGGATAACAGAGAGTGGCCTTCAGCCAGTACTTGATTGAATATGTTAAAAGGGGAACTAGAATTTGCCCAGAAGAAACACAGGCTTTTGTTTCAAACCCTGTGTGTAGAGTACAGGAGGCTTAGGTAGAAAACCTGAGCCCCATCCTGTACTACTGAGGGAACAGAAGAATTGCATTTGAATAAGAACCTGAAGAGGAAAAAATAATGACTGTTTGGCTCTTTGAATTTCAAGCAAGCAGACTGGTTTTGGGTGCATCGAGACAGGAAAGTCAGGGTCTGTGAGAGAAACTCCTTCCAGGATTGAAAGTTAAAGGAGGCCAGTGAGTAGTAAACTTGTATGTTACTCGCTTGTGACCGCTGGGGTCCACCTGAGTGGAAATGGGGTAAGTGCAGCAAAGAAGAAATGGGCTGAGTTTGGTACTCTTTGACCTAGGCCATGGAGGCTGGGGATGAGAGGAAGGGCTGGCTGGTCTGAAGTGCAAGGAGTTGTGAGCCTATGGGCATTGAAATAGTCCCTAAGGACTGAAGATGTGAGAGAAGGTGCTGACTGGTCTCAAGTGAAGGGAAGAGTGTCACTCCCAAACTTGGCAGCTGGTATCCATGACCTAGCTGGGATGGCTAGGGCTGAGCTGACCAGAACCCGACCAAATGAAGAGGAAGATGTTTGACACTGAGCTGGTGTTAAGATGCTGCAATTTGATGGCTTGCACTGGGCTGGATTTTGCTTGTTTATGGATCCAGAAGCCTGAAGTTTCCAAACAGAACAGAAGATTCACCACAGAGAAAGGACCATGTTTGTCTCCTCAGAGTACTGGTTTGACGTTGTTACTGTTGTTGTCAGGTGCCATCGAGTCGTTTCTGACTCATAGTGACCCCATGCACAGCAGAACGGAACACTGCCCGATCCCGCGTCAGCTCCATGATCACTGCTAAACTTGAGCCCATCATCGCAGCCACCGTGTCAATCCATCTTGTTGAAGGCCTCCCCCTCTTTCGTCAACCCTCCACCCTACCAAGCATGACATCCTTCTCCAGGGAATGGTCCCTTCTGA